GCTTTTTCTGGTAATTTTTTTTTTTTTTTGAATTTTTTTTTGAACGACGGATAGTCAACCTGTTCGAAACATCGAGCCACTCATCCTCTCCAAGCACTATAGTTCTCCTTAGAACTATATGCTAAGAAAGATAACAAACAGTCCTTTTCAGGACTACCACACCCCCAAGAAATATTACCTAGTCAGAGTCCTTTTCAGGACTCCTCTATGTAGACTGTGTAGTAAATTATCAGTTTAAAGCAAAGGGCTACAAAGTCATTTGAAGATTTGGTGAAGAAGAAAAAAATAAAACTAGAACAGCAATCTTCAAACAATATATGCGTGAATTATGTTCTATGTCGCTGATGAAAGAGCATCTTTTGGACAATTTAGAGCAATTTGTGGGAAGTCTATAGCATTTAGCAAAGCGGATAAGAAGGTTGAATGGAATAGCAGTTCCACACTACATAATTGTACATGTACTGAAAGAAGCAAATTGTGTCTGGACACTGCTGGTAATCAGACACCGGAAATGCAAACTAATCCCTAGCTGCCACTGAAACTGAATGTCTCAGAGAATGCAAGGGCAAATGCTTAGATATAGTAAACACTTTGGTCTCTTCTTTCAGAAATTTCTGGAAAGGGTCAGACCCTGATCATGCAGATTATCACAAGACATTTTAGGGTGCGTTTAACAACTTCTGCTACTCAGAAACACAGTTTCTATAAAAATTATAGAAACACACTATAGGAACGTGAACACTATAGGATGTCACGTTTATCAAGTCTTCTTGATTCGAAATGAAGGCCTTGTCTCTGTGCAGCTGACCCATGAAGCAGAGAATTACGCGTAGGTCAACTAGAGCGAGCGCTTTTTTATTTTCGATCTAACTACTACTAAGTACCTACATACTAGTATTATTGTGACATACAAAATTTGAAGTTTAAAAAGTTTAAGTTCCTCTCTAATATTGGGTTCTGCCCACAGGAGCAGCAATCACCCAAGTTCATCGGCATCCCAGTTTGAACCTTTCACCTTTGAACTCGCACTGGCAGACATATTATATGGTACTTATTAAAGGTAAAGGTAAAGGATAATAAACAGCAATAATTTGTCGATATTCTTGTAGATGTTAGCATGTGCACGCGATGACAATACACTCAAATATAATTGAACTTGAAGCATGTAATTAAACGCTTGTACAACATTAACATGACACAGGTACATGTACATGCACTATTTCTCCAAACCGAAAATTAGCCTGGGAAGGTCTGAAATATATACCGGTCACGTTTCAAAACAGCTTTGCGTTTATCATTTCTCAGAAACGTGATTCTGGCTCATCCTCACATTCAAAGCGCACCTTTTTCGGCGTTTCAATATGCAAATACAAGTATGTTTCTATTCTAAAGACGTATGAAAATGTGCTTGCTTTTATCAACATGCAAATCTGCCTGAAAGATGTTTGAAAATGCTGATTCTAGGCCAGAAAAGAGCTCATAAACGCACCCAAAGACTGTTCAAGTGCATATGAAGACCTTTGCATTATCATAGATTTTTGTAATGCTAATTTTTGCTTTAAAAATACAATGTAGCAACACTGAGATTTCTCTTTGATGTTTTATGTACCAGTACATTATTTAGTTATAAATGTCTTGCTAATTCTAAGAATGTAATTGCAAAACCAGATATGTGGATTTTTTTTTTTACATATCTAATGAGCTATGACCTTTGACCTACATACTCCGGAATCAAACTTGGCTGTATTCTGATACCATGTACCTTCATATCAAATTTCAATAAAACTGTTTTGTTATAGCTCCGTGGAATCTATAAAACATTTATCTAGGGATTGCCCAATCATTAGAAAATTTATTGCGGATGTCCAACATTTCATTTTAGAGGATAAAGTTACTTTGAATAAAATTAATTTCATTTTTGGGTTTCATGGAAACGTTGGAGTTCAATTTAATTAAATTATTTTATATGCCAAATACTATATATTTTCCAACAAATGCAAATAAAGCGTACTCTCACTAAATTCTTCTAAATGCATGTTAAGGTATTATCGTTCTCTTGAACAATACATTTATAAGAATAACAAATTTGTATCATTTGATAATAATAGGAAAAACATTGTGTTGCTTTAAAAAAATATTTATCTTGTATAATCAGCTATATTCTTGTTGTTGATTCTATTGGTTATATCATGTATGTATATTCATATATGTTTTGTTATGTTTTGTAAAGTCGAAAACAATATTGAATAAAGATGATTTTATTAAAGAGAAAGAAAAGAAATCTGTCAAACAGTATTAAAGTTATCGAAAGGAAACCAGATTTGTTATGGACGGAAGTTCAGACGGCAGTGCTACTATTTCCCCTTCGACTTTGTTGGCGAGGGGATAATAATAACTCTCTAGTGATGTATCCACTAGACCACAACACCTCTACCGCTCTACCAATAATTATTTCAAAACTGCATTCAGAATCTCACTTTATGCTTAATACTTGTGAGAACATGAAATCACTACTTGGTGATTCAAATCTCTAATTTGTTTAAATATCTAAAATCGTACAAATGCATATAAAACTGTATATATGTACTTGATTTGCAACAAGATTTTGCAATTTTTACAAATTTTGCAGAGTACAAACCACTCCAATTTTTCAAAGGCCTATACAGTCAATCCGCAGAGCGTGATAATAGACCAGTTCACGGTTAGCACATTACTGCAATGACCCCGAATATCCACAGATCTTCAAAGCATTGAGGTCCCACTTTGTACATGTTGAAATAATCACTCCTACAGCGATGGAGGTCCTATATAAATAGCCTTTGTTTCCCCTTTTCAAAGAATACTTCCCCCTGCGTATCATGGAGTGCACTGAATGTGCATGAATGAATAATGATTACATAACTTTCATGAGCACATATCCAATATTTCGTCTCTGTGCATGTCAAAATTTGACCTTTATCTGCTCATGCTCAGACTGCAACCGTGAACTGGCTTATTCACATTCATTTATTAATTCTTATTCTTAAAAAATTTGGTGTGTGCATAAAATAAATAATTAATAATAGTGGGTTCTTGTATAGCGCTCATGTCAGTCAGATTTGACCCTCCTGGCGCTCCCGATTATTACCCTGGCTTTAGCACGGCTGCCATACGGCGCTCTAGCATTTCAAGGAATAAATTCCTACCAGGTACCCATTTACTTCACCTGGGTGGAGTGTGGCAAATGTAGATCAATGTCTTGCCAAAGGACATTAGTGCGGTGGCGGGACTCGAACCGCGGACCTTGTGATCGACAGTCCGGCGACGTATCCACTTGACCACAACACCTCTACATTGCATACATTATAAGTAATGCATGTGGTTGTTAAAGTAGCTGAGCGAAGGTTTCAAAAGACTTTTAACTAATAATGATGTTGGTATCATTGCAAAGTTAACGTTACAATCTTTCTAATGGTTCATATTTAGTTTTCAAAAATTGTTAACAGATTTGACTTATAAAAGTGGTGAAATTACTACCCGATTATTCCGCCCTTGATCGGCCTGGTATTGTGACGTACGATTTGTGACGTAGGAGGTTGGGCACATGAGCGAGAGTGCGATCCTCAAGCTCTCACACAACTCTCGCCTGCATGCATTATACGTATACAAACGCCACTCGAACGCTAAATATCTGATCAAAATGTCCGAGCTCGAAGAAGAGGTTTTACTCGATTTAGAATTCGAAGTTGATGAGCACAGCTCCACAACAGTGGTACTGGTAGTGATAGTGATGAAGATGATGATGGGGATGTAGGAGAGATAGAAGAAAGATAACAATTCGGAGAAGACGGCGTCGATGCTGGTGCAGGTCAAGTGATAGCATATCAGCGCGAGCTGCCGCTCAGCTCCCCCGGCCCCGCTCAACTGGCGATCAATCTGTCATGACTGGGCGAGACATTTTCTAATTTTTCGGGCTGTGTGGGGCTTTTTGGCAAATTTCATGGATAATAAAACAAAGATGATTAGATGTGAGATTAAATTTGGCGAAAATCAATTACAAATATGCACCATTCATAAATAGAACTGCAGCTGCAGGACATCATACAAATGCAAAAGGACGCTCGCAATTCACTCATAATGGTCTCCGTATATATTCAACAGCAATCACTATCACGCCAAGTACAAAACATCTCAGCAAATTACACAGAATGGAAAGGTATTTGGACAAATCGAATTGCACGATTCACCCCTCGCATTATATTACATAAATTTGCTAAATATTATATGTAATCTAGAGATTGTTATTCCACTTTCTGGTCAGGATATGAAGCATGCAAAAGTCTGGATAATGTATACGTATAGATATGCAAAATACCGCACGCGAGCTATGCGAGAGGCGAGCTTGAGCCCAACCAGGGATGTCATAATCGGCCTACTGCGCAACCAAAATGTTCAAGCCGGGAATTGAAGTTCTGAGAAGGTTCTTGGAAAAAGCTTCTTACCGCGTTTCATTTATATTTACAAGACATTTTAAAGCAGAATGTGTGTCTTCATATTGGTCTACGCTATCCGGACATGTATAATTTGCCCATTTTTAGTGATTATGTGAAATTTCTTCGCCAAGCTACTTTAAAAGCTATGATTTTGATCCTTAGAATCGTTCATTTTGCATGATTTTGGTCTCATTTTTAAGAATGAGATTTTGAATTGGGTGCTAATATTTACCCTTAAAATACTTTTGCGTTCAATCCATAGTCCATACCCATTCATGGTACATGTGCAGATTGTGTCTTTCGATCTCACAAGCCGAGTTGTATTGAATACGCATGATTGGGGGCGGTCCAACAAGAATTATGTCATCAAGGTTAAACTTTTGAACCGGTTTCATGATCGCTACGTTTTTGTCCGGACAATGTTTTGTGCAGCAAGTAGGGATATCACAGTGGTGGAGATTATTACAAATCATATTGGCCAGATTCTGGACTACCCATGTACTTGCTGGAAGGAAACAGAAAACTTACCAGTTGAGGTCGTCAGAATCATTCTGTGCTATAAGCCAGAAATAGAGCCATATTAGCATGAAGATAAATGATGTCACGACTACTCCTAGCCATATCTTCTCATACTGAAACAGGAAAGTGAGAAAAATAAAACAAAGAACTTGTTACTTTACTACAAAATCTAGAACTCTATGTAAATGTACATGTTGGTTAGGTTACAGACGTAATTTTCATGGGAGCTAAAAGGTTCGAAACAATGGGCAAGTTTAGGTTACTTACAGTAATCAATTATTTCTATGAATATAAGTTTGTGATATTATACATATATACATGACTTTACAATTACCTTCATTCCAAGAGTTAAGACGGTAAAAAGTGAAAGTTCTAGTACACATTTAGGGTATACCAGTGAGAAAAGTAGCACTGTTTTCCGGCAATAAGCTGCTTAAAGGTATAGCCCAGTTCCGGTCATGCGATTGCATTGTGAAGGAAACGTTGTGGAATCCATCAGAAAAGGTTGATCATCTAGCATAGAAGTATTGGTGTGTACTGCAAGGTTCTGGAATCATCAAAATGATAAGAAATTTGTCCCAGTCTTGGTAAAGTTACAAGCACTGTACACAGAAAGATGTATATGGGACTGTGTGATATCTATCCAGGCCGCACATATTTTTTAGCAATTTTCGGGGGGGGGGGGAATCCTAGAAGTGCTCTGGTGAAAGAGTCTACATCGTCAGCAGATTATATACAATCACCAGCAGCAATATACTTCATTGTGTAAGCACGTACACCCAGGGAAGGGAAGATGATAGAAAAGGGAAAACAAAGAAATACATAAGGAGAGTGGAGAGGATATGGAAAGGAAGAAAAAAAGGAAATACATAACGAAAGAGAAAAGGATAGATTTTTCCAAAACTGGCCTATACCTTTAAACATTGACACAATTGGAGTGATTGCAAAATGAAGGTAGTACTTGATGCAAATTTTCTGACAATTAATTCCTAAAATTTACAGCAATGGCAGTCTGTTGTATTCTGAAGAAAATGAGGCTTTTTCATAAAGGGATAGTTGAGTTCTTGGATCAGACAGCAAATGCCTTCAAAGTGCATGGTTATTGGTCTTATTTGTTATTTATGACATTTCTAGAGCTCTTTTAGGACCTAAAATTGCTATGAAGGTATTTTAGACCCCACAATGTGTGAAATTTAGATAAAACGGTTATACCAATTCAGCTCAACTTTCAACAAAATATGGTGACCATTAATTTATTAATTAATTAATAATAACAATACACGGGCCAGCTACTGTAGTTGTGCGTACTATTGTAAACAACACGAAAAAGCCAACATCGGCATTGCTGGCTGGAATAAAACTTATAAGACGCTATCTCGTTTTTTCAACGGCTGGTTCAAGTTATCAAATATTTACATGTCTCTGAACCAATTTTAATCAAACAACAATTGAAACACTTTCGGAGGTCTCGCCTGCATTACGCAATTCGATATGAAAAATTGAGGTTGGAACATTATTTATAGGCAGGGTGGCCCATTTGCAGGCCCCAAAAATTGAAATCCTCTAAATATAATTACCATTTTGAAGTGAATATTGACTAAGAATCATGAACAAATAAAAAAATTGGTTCATTTATTCTCATATTAAGTTGTGAAAACATGATCCAAGACAACTGACCTAAAATGACCTTTGACCTTGTGACCTGGAATTTGTGTTATATGATTTGTGATACCTGATAACCCTTGGGTACAATTTTCATGGAATTTGAACAAACACTTTTGAAAATATGCTAAAAATTCAAAATCTAGAGGTTGATGCCATAACAAAACCTAAGTTTGTTGACCTAAAATGACCTTTGACCTTAACTTAGTATGGTAACCTGAATTCTACTCACATGATTGGGGATACTTGAATACCCTATAGTGCAAGTTTCATTGACTAAGAACTTATACCTTTCAAAATTATATCAAAAGCAGGCGAGACAAAAATGATTTTTTTTTTTTTCCATTTAAATTGTATGTTCTTTCAAATTTAAAACTCAGTTTTTCTTTATCTCACAAAATGTTTATTTTGTTTAGCGCCCTCTGCAACAAAACTCAACTGTCCCTTTAAGGGCTATATCTGATCTTAGGGGAATTGTTACAGTTTGCTCCTAAAAAGGCCTGGTTATTTTGGTTCTCTCTCAGCCGAGGGAATGGAATGACAAAAAATTATTAACCTTGGCTTATTGATAGAGTATCTCATAAAGGATACGTCCACAAATGAAATTTCATATCTCTGTCTTAAATGGTGTTTGAATGATTCAAATATCAGGGAAGTGACAATTCTGCACAATACATAATTTATGGGGAAATGTTCATTTTTTTACACTACGCAGTACCCATGGTATTGGTACCCTTTGGATTCAATCCCCGGTCAAAAAAAACCCAGAGCCTCCTGGGCAGTCCGGATTGACTTGAGCTGCGTTACGGACTTTGAAAAGCCCTGCTAAAGTATATTCCTGATCAGACGTCAAGCAATTAATTAGGCAGAATCTAAACAAAAACAAAGCAATGACCGAAATTGTCATTGCCTGATAGAAGTCCATGGAAGTGACTTAAATCATTATTGTTTTTTAAAGGCGGGGCGATTGAACTCGGGATTTAAATCTTCATCTTAATCACAACGACGTAGCGGAAGACTCCCACCAGCACGTTTTTCCTACCGCTTAGATGTAGAATCTCAAATGTGCTCTTACCCCCCCCCCCCCCCCCCCCCCCCCCCGCTTATTCGGTGGCTGGGTGAGTTGTTGCAAAATTTTCGGCGCGGTTTTTCAAATTTTAAAACACCTCCCTTGAAAAAAATCTTGTGTACGCCACTACCGTTCAGCAAAACAAATATTTGTATATGACCTCCCTCGAAGCAGTTCCCCAAAGTTGACAGCCCTGTTTAATGATACCTAGTATGTAATTAATTATATTAAGTAATATTAACGGGGATAAAAAAAATGTGTACTGGTAGCAACAGAATTTGAATAGCTTTTGATATTAGGTAATTTTTCTTTTATTCATTCTCAAAATACAGTGTTACTCGTTAACTCTATGAAGATGTACATACATATTGCATTTTCAATGTGGTAGTAAATACAATACAACAGATGATTGATGATACATGGTGTACATGTACATGTACGTGTACAGTACATACATCGGATGCAAAAAACTATCAAACTGTTGATCCCTAATGGCCCGGTCCCACTGGCCGATGGACACAAAACGTATGCATTAAGGACACAGCGGACAAGCAAAATTTCGGGGGTGGCTCCATCCGTTTTCATCCGCTCCAGAAATGGACAAAATTTGCGAAAATTTGCAAAAAACAGAACGGAAAATAACGGACGTGGGTAGTATGTAGCGGGGATGTTAAACGGATGTTCATCGGAAGCCTAGCGGATGAAAGCGGATGGAAGTGGAAGACAGCTTTGAATACGTTATATACGAGATGCATACGCTTACATCCTTTCTATTTCCGTGCTACTAACGATGTATAGACGTTCCATGTACCTTATCTTTCCTCCCTCTTTCCGTTTTCAGCTGCAGGGGATGTGAGTTGCGAGGATACCCAGAGGATGCAGAGAGGATACAGCGGACGTTTAACGGATGATAACGGACATAGAACGTTTGTTGCTCGTATTTGTCGCGGATTAACATCGTACACGGCGGAAGTTCATCCGTTCTAAAAGTTTTGTGCAGCTCAAAACTTTTTGCGCGGATGAAATCACAGTGGACGGATGCTCGATGGATAGAGCGTATGAAACACGTATGCAATGAGTACACAACGGATGTAAAGCGTTTTCCAACGGATGGCAAGATTTGTTTACGTTTTACATCCTCTTTGCATCCGTAAGTGCAGTGGGACCGGGCCTTTATGGAGAACCGGTGTGTACGTGTGTACCATTACATGTAAATGTACATGCGAAACTGAGCAGGCCTACATGTATACATAGTGTACAGTACACCCAAAATACAAAAGAATACTTGATGCAGAAGTATGTGCCTGTACATATATGATTAGAAGCATTAGATATAAAATGCACCGCATGAATTGCAATACAATACCGGTAGTTTTGCACAAAATTAAATGAATCACAGAGATGCCAAGTTCAAAGATCAGCTATGCGTGACAATTTCATGACTTGGGACACGAGCAAGGGTATAGCGTATAGAGTATAGCGCACGTATACATGTATAGCATATAGTGTACCGTACGTTCTAAATCGCGCATGTGCGTGATAGCCAGCCTGCATGCTTGGGTTTTTTAACGTACTACGGTGTCTGGTAAAAAGCACCAAAAAAAAAAACGCCTCGAGGCCTCAGCTCCTTCCTCGCAGGGTTCGTGTACGTATATCGCAGGCACGTAGCATGCATGCAGGCCAGCTATCATGTCGCATCACGCGCATGCACGATCTCGACACGTACATGTACACCATACGCTATACGTACGCTATACCCTCGCCTCGCCCCGCGCTAGCACGTCGAGTCATGAAAATGTCACGCATAGCTAATGTTTGAACTTGGCATCTCTGCAAATGCCGCAACACAATTTTTCTTAATAATCTGCAAAAGTTTCTTGATGCGCAAATGGTTGTCACAGATGTTTCTGATTTTGAAAATCAATTTCATTTCCCAAGTGCGAACAGGCACATAAAGATGCAAAATTTGAATCACATCACAATAATCCAAATATTGTTGGTGTTGTTTTTGTTACCTTGTTAATTTGTTATCATTATCATCATTTCATATCAACTATACAGTACATGTACATTTGCATGTGTGTGAGAATGGGTCTATCATACATTTACATGCATGTTTCATGGCTATAATCTCTATAAAAAAACAATCATAATTCATAATCATTCTACACAAATAATTCAGAATTATTTAAAGGAAATATACCCAACCTACCAAATTTGTAGGTTCTGTGGACCTTCTGTAGCGTTTCCAACGGCAACCATAGAGCCCTGTTACACAGGACAGACAGACCTGTTGGCGATACTTCTGTTCCTTCTCTAACCTCACGTGGGACACCATTTTGTGTGGGTGAAAGGAAGCTGCCTTGCTAACAGGATCAGTCCAGCAATTAACACTTCATTCAGTGGCGTTTCCTCAAGTAATACAAGACAACTGCGCTGTCAACACTACTTCAGAGCCGTTACAACTGTGGTAGAGAGAAGAAACACTCATCAGACATTCAATCAATCTCCTTGAATCAGGATTCAGGAAGCTTTTCTTGGCAAATGCACTGTCAACAGTGGAATATCATAATTCTTAACCACTCTGTTAAAACAAGAGCAATCGCTAAACGGCTGTCAAATTCTCTCAAACAGGAAATTTTAAGAGTGAAAGACTTTTTTCGTGCAATATAAATTCAGTAGGAGGTTCATCTTTAAGCGTATTCCCTGGCAGCAACACTTAATTAACTTTAGTAAACAATGCACATGAACATGTACATGTAGATCTCCCAAAGTAATGACTTATTGGGTATACTTTAAATGTAGTACAAAAACAGGATCCAGATGTGGATGTTTCCAAACACTGCATTGAGACGGTCAGATGGCTTTCACAAATTCTTTCGGTATACAAGGTTCATACATGTATATGTTCCTCACACATTTCCTTCTGAACAATCATTGGTCATCATCGGTCAAACAAAGGTCAAGTTTTTCAAAATTGTGTAATCTTCTGAGGCAAGATTCTGGCTTCAAACACCTGTTCCACATGTCCTGTCAAGAGATATGATACTTTAGAATTAATACTTTCCTATTATACTTACAAATTAATATTTACAATTAAAATTGCATAATTCCTCTCAAATTAAATAAATTTTTGAAATGATATAATACTTACATGTACAGAATGAGACAGGGCATGTACATTGTACATGTAAATCTCAACCATAAATTGACTTTAAACTCCCAATATGCCCTGCCCTGCCAATTCCATTTTTCCAGTATGATTAATGAAATGTTAATTTATACACGTATGTAATCTTGGAATTTTGGCAAAGAATAGCTTACCAGTATAACTACAGATTGTCAGAGATTGCTGCTGTATACATGTATAATGTATACACGTAGGTTGAATAATCTTCCATCTCTCAATTTAAGTCTAGTATGGACTAGGGACTGTATACACAAATACACAAACATTCTCTGCAGACAAATGTAAAATTTCAGTGGTAGGGCAGGACAAAGTTTAGTTTGCTAATTTCTATAAAACGTTTTTTACAAATTTGCAAACATGGCTCAAAATAGGTAAGCACATAAAATTCTGGTTATACAAGTAGGATACTACCCCCCCCCCCCCCCCCCCCCGGATAAATACCAATAGGACAATTACTGTCCCCGCCCTGCCCCCCGCCCACCACAGATGACAATTACCCCTAGGACAATTAAATTCAAATTTGATTCATTAGCAAAATACGATGTGACACATTGGGAGAAGACCTGTGTGAAGTCTACTAGCCCATATCACAGGTTCACAAATACGCGGGGGTGAAAGGCGACTTGGCCCCCGCGAGTCTCAAGATAGCCCCCTAAGAACCTGAAGTCGCCCCCGTATGTCGCTACCGATTCTGATCGTCCGCACATCCATAACTGCTTGGCCTCAGCTTAATGCCCGAGCCCAGACGAAACGAGCTTGCAGTTCAAATACGCATCGCACTGCTAGCATGTAGCTCGCACGTACATTCCGAATACTGGCAATTATCTGCATGGCCGTGCGCATGCGGATATGACACCACACCATGTACATGTACACTAGCTGCTATAACACGCCCTTGTGTCTGCTACATATAGCCTATCCAAAGAACTGTATACCTGTAGTACCATGGAGTTACTAGCCTAGGAGTGGAGACTCTGCCCCTATAGGGCTTTTCTTATCACTCAGAGCGGGATTATGCCGGATTAGGGGTCCAACGAAGGAAAAAAAAGACCTCTTACGCAACGAGATTACCCTGGTCTCTATCACCGGACTTTCAAGTCCCATGCGCGATGCCGCTCTGAACTGGCCCTCTCTAGGAGGGAACATCAAAAGTCCTGTCATAATACATCGGTGGTTCATATAGCTAGCTCTGTACACATGTCGATAGCTTCATCACATGGGACATATACTCTGATGTCGTGATAGTCTAGGAATTCAGCTCTCGATGGGTGCAAAGATCTCGAAAAATCGGCCAACGACAAATACTTTTGACCTGATTATTGTTGAAAATTTTCCTTATTTTATTCCATTTATATTCATTCTTCAATGTAATATTAGTTATAGACCCAGACTTCCCTATGTGAAGATCATTTTTTAGGCAGACAGATGAAATTTTCTCCTTTATTTTGACTCCACCGATCGTTCCCGTTCGTGTTATTGTGATGACATATTGAAAACCTGTTAACATATCTGCTGGGTCACTCATTTTCTATTGTGTGGTTTCAGTTTCCCTGTGGAATTTTGGCGGTATTATTGTGCGTGTTGGTTGGACGAGTGAGTTGAGGAACTAGAGCTGGGAGGGCATGAATGAGATGACATGCATATAATTATAAGCGCTAAGCTTGGGGGATAGTTAGGATTATAAATAGAATATTAAACAACTGTGTTATACAAATCCATTGTGATGTCTATAGTGATTGTTTATTGACTTTTGTGGTGATTAATGATGTTGATTGTGTTGTAAAATATGCAATTATTTGTGTATAAATAATGATAATTGATATTAGGTCTACTGGTAATGTCAGGGAGCACCTCCCTGCAAATTATTGATAATGCCTAGATGTTTACATTTATGTTTACAATTGAATGGCATTATATGGTGATTGTTATTATTTTTCTGAAGTATTGGTATTACTGTTTTTTAATAATTACTATTATTATCAGTATTGGTACATTAATTATCATGATATCAATTAGTCATGTTATTGTTATATAGATCTAATAATTATCATTGTTATTATTATGATTATTATTATTATAAAGTCATTATAATTATAAGTGTTCCTTACATTTCACTTTCAGTCACATCATTATTTCAACATAACTAGTAATTTAGTATTTTGTTATATTTTTGGTGGCACTGGCAATATCCATTTATCTTCCAAATAATAATCGTCACGCGAGAAAGCTGCCATGTTCAGGATGTAAACATATCCTACAATGCACCACACATGCAAGCGGTTCCGGATGAACCGACCTTCCGCATGCGCTATGTGATCTTATTTACGACCGGTGCGACCAGGCGGCATTAGTCCAATTTAGTGGAATGGTCGCTTGGGGAGCGGGGCTTCAAAGATGGATCAGAGGACCCTAATCCAGTCCCCACTCCAAGGCTAGTAACTCTATGGTAAATACCCATTCATGCACGAGGCAAATACCGTAATCCTCTGTGTCTAAGGCGCACTTTTTTTCTTTATTTTTTTTTATTTATGGCGCTATGCCTGGCAATGTCTCCCAGCTCAGTAATCAGTGTGTTGAATCACCACTCGGAAACTACAACAACACTCACATTTGTCTGTCATCTTGGTTTGAAAGTAATCTTTCTAATAGATCTCAATACCGGTATGTAGTTTATAATAATAATTCCTCAAAAAAAATTTCTATATCAAATGGTGTAACACAAGGTTCTATCGTAGGTACTCTATTGTTTTTAATTTACATTAATGATCTTACACATTCTTCTAAAAACGACATTGTTACTATTATTTGTGACAAGTTCACAAGCACAAATCAGCGCCTTCAACTGCACCTGTCCTTGATGTTAAATGAAGGTCCTTCCCCGCGTGGGTTTTCGGCAACAAAACAACAACAAACAACAACACAATTTTTTTTTTTTTTTTTTTGGCCCTCAAAATAGGGGTGCGCCTTATACACAGGAGCGCCTTATACAGCTGAACTGCCAGCAACCAAATTGGTACGTAATATGTTTAATTAGTATTTTTTCTGATCCAAATTTTTATCTTGGACAATGCAATCCCATGGACAATGCAATCCCATTTTTAAGAATGTGATTCCGTTTAAAATTGTGTTATTTATAACTTAAAACCAGTAAATGTGAGTGACTATTTGTGCTGTAATATAGGAATGTGCCCTACAGAAAAGTTGCCTTGCCCTAAAAATATTGAAATTTAAGGCCTGATACTATACCATTGTCATTTGATTGCATCGATTTCTGTCTACAAAATGAAACTAGAAATATCGCAATCTGTATTGCCGCGCAATGCGAATGTATCCCCCGGCAGTGGCAGCGATTTTGTGTTATCCTTATGTGGAAGGAGGGACAAAGATTCCCTCTCCTCTTTGTGAAACAAAAGGATGACGTAGAGATTGCCGCAAGTGGCTCAGACTATTGTCAAGACTAGGAGCAGCATCACCAAAACAATAGGTGTGTAGATCAGATTATGATGCATATTTATAGAAAATTTGAAAGAAATGTGATTTGCATAGCGACACAAGATATTCCTTTAAATATGACCTTTGACCCTATAAGAGATGGAATACTGGGGGGTTGCAGCACCAAATTTGTGGAGGTCTAGAGTAAACTATAATGAACCTTAATACAAGCAGCATCACTAAAATCTATAGGCTTGTAGATTATACCAAGATACACCTTTGTTCAAAATTTGAACAAAATCCCTTTAGAAATGTGGCCTATAGAGCGCACACAAACAAAAATATGGCCTTGTACCCTATAGTAGGCGGAACACTGGGGGCAGCATCACCAAAAGTTATAGGTATGTAGATTATACCAGGATACACCTCCATACAAAATTTGAAAGAAATCCGTCAAGAAATGTGGCAGTTAGAGCGCACACTAGAGTGCACACAAGACATCTATCAAAATATGACCTTTGACCCTATAAAAGACGGAACACTGGGGGCAGCATCACCAAAAGTTATAGGTATGTAGATTATACCAGGATACACCTCCATACAAAATTTGAAAGAAATCCGTCAAGAAATGTGGCAGTTAGAGCGCACACTAGAGTGCACACAAGACATCTATCAAAATATGACCTTTGACCCTATAAAAGACGGAACATTGGAGGCAGCATCACTAAAATCTATAGGCTTGTAGATTATACCAAGATACACCTTCGTTCAAAATTTGAACAAAATCCCTTTAAAAATGTGGCCTATAGAGCGCACACAAACCATCCACAGAAATATGGCCTTGTACCCTATAGAAGACGGAACACTGGGGGCAGCATCACCAAAAGTTATAGGTATGTAGATTATACCAGGATACACCTCCATACAAAATTTGAAAGAAATCCATCAAGAAATGTGGCAGTGAGAGTGCACACAAGAATATGACGCGGCGGCGGACGCGGCGGCGGCGGCGGCGGCGGCGGCGGCGTAACGCTGCTGAATCCAAAGTACATGTACCCCACCGGCATACTGCCGGGGGATACAACTAAATGAGTACATAAAAAAAAATCTGGCCAAGATTACGCATGTTTCGTTATCACAAATACATCAGTATGTGGGACAAGAGTAAAAACTATTCACTTACAATTAATGTTTTTAACACAATTTTAAACAGAATTAAATATTTTGAATGGGATTGCATTGTCCATACCGTAATACAAATTTTGGACAGAAAAAAAGACTAAATAACATATTACCATCATAACGTACCAATTTGGTGGCTAGCAGTATGGCTAAGGAAAAACACAACTAATTATTACAGCTTACAAGCTAGCTCTTTTCAAAAGTAGCCCCCACCTTTCTTAAAGAA